AAACCATTTCAGGTGACTACCTCTTGAAGCTCATGGAGAGAATGCCAAGAGTGTGCAAAGCAGTAATCAGAGCAAAGGGTGGCTATTTTGAAGAAACTAGAATATAAAACATGTTTTCAGTTATTTCACCTTTTTTTGTTAAGTACATAACTCCACATGTGTTCATTCATAGTTTTGATGCCTTCAGTGAGAATCTACAATGTAAATAGTCATGAAAATAAAGAAAACGCATTGAATGAGAAGGTGTGTCCAAACTTTTGGCCTGTACTGTATGTGTGTTAATGAGCTGTTGAATAGGTGTACCTAATAAAGTGGATGGTGAGTGTATATAACTGCACACAAGCTGAATAAAATGAATCATAATGTGTCAGACCAGGATCCTGAACACACATGTTATGGCACTGCCCAGAAATAAGAACATTTTGGGAATGAGTGTTGTTAAATGTTGCCCTGTTTGTTGGGAGTTAAGGTGGATGGTGTAAAATCTGGAGTAATACAACATCTGAGCAGCCCTTGCCATTGTTAGCTTCATCCTTAAGAACTGAAAAGTACAGATATGAAATTGTTTTTGTTTGAATGACCCACTGAGGTATTTTATAGAAGAACTAATGATGTAGTGTGCAGCCTCAGATGGTTCAGATGGATCATGGACACTCAACAAAGAATACATAATACATACATATTTGAGTGTTATGAATGTTGAAGTAAGCCACTACAAGGAGCAGGACTCTGAACCCCTCAGTGTGACCTGTTTTCCTCATCAGATGTCTTTTCAGGGATGTACAAGATTTACTTTTGGGTTATTTTGTGTGTTAATTGAAAACATATCCATATGAAAGCTCACTGTGACACTTCACCTGAACTCACCCTGATTGTGCTGCACTGTGTTGTGTTTGAGTGCTGTGTGTATTTTGTCACTTATCACCCACTTGATAAATACAAAAACACAAAGAGGAGCAAAGATTTTGAAAATAAGGGGCACAGATATATCCCTGCGAATCTGCCTTGCCATTTACCTGAGGGACATTTTTTAGTGGTGGGCAAAATAATTTGAAATCGTTTATAAACCAACCGGAGGAGGGCTCAGCGGTACCTTGCGCTGGGAGCCTATATTTCCGACAGCACACGAACGCAGCATTAAAGCGACACTGGTGCCAAACTGGACCCAGTTCATGTGAGTTTCTTGACCAGTTTAAAACCTCATTTCAAACCTGTCTGTCGTCTGTGAATCCATCGCTGGCTGTCGGCTTCGTCCTCCGACTGTTTAACCGCTCGTTAATATCGCGAGACGTTGATTTTCAGACGCTGCTTTAGAAGCTAAGTTAGCGTGCTAACGGCTAGCCAGCTGTTAGCTGTGTAGCAGTTGCAGTGATCGAGCTGATGGAGCAGAAGTTGTTTTAACGATATTTCGCCTCATTTAACGCGCAGAAAAACACCAACACGTCCGGTTTGATGGTGTCGCTGATTTATTAACGTGTGTTTCGAGGCGTCGCAGCTGGTTTAAGAACTTTATTCTTGTGTTGTCTCAAAGTTTGATGCACCTGTTGCGAGTTGAACCTGCTGCTGGGACAGATTTACTGTTTAAGATATCAGATTATTATCAACATCGAGGCGAGCAGATATATTTATTGATTAGTTTCCACTCAAGGTTTCACCCCCTCCCCTCTCGAGCTGTTTGAGTTTCACTTCCTGGTTTCTCAGGTGAGTTTACAGGTGTGATTGTGACTAAGCGAGACCTTCAGTGTGTTATTTCATGTGCGGGTTGAGGAATGTGTGTGTGGTTTGTTTTTCCCACCAGTGGTTGTGCTGATAAAGTGGGTTCAGCTCTGCTCTGATGGTGAAAATGAGCCGAGCTGCTGACAGTCCGATAACATGGTTTCACCTGTGAGACACACACACACCTGAACGCAGCACAGAGAAGAAGCTTGCTTACATGTTAGTGCAGGAAATGTGCACATGTGGAGGTTAGTTTCATGTTTACATTTAAATCAGCGGGTGGAGGAAGTGTTCAGATCCTTTACTGAAGTTTAAGTACTAATACAACTCTGTTAAAGTTCACCAGTACAAGTGCTGCATTCAAGACCTTAAGTAGGGACTGTTCGTTATTTATGGAGAGCTGGGGTGGTGCAGACAGGGCAGGCGTGTTAAATAGTTTTTTTTAAACACTGAGGAGGGACTTTTTTTTAGAAGAAGGACATACAACTTTAAATGGTTATAATTTGTAGGGTTCAGGATACATATATATCTGGCTGATAATTAGGGCTGTACCCAAATATTCGGATATTCAAATATTCGTTTCTATGGGTAGGTATTTGTTATGAAAATTTGGTATTTGATATTTGTTTTTTTTATTTACTTATTTTTTTTTATTTATTTATTTATTTTTATTTTTATTTTTTGGTGCTAAATATAGTCTTTTTGTTGTTGGTAAATGTAGGTTATCAATAAAAATCAAAACTTTTAAATTGCATTGTTAAAAATGTGAAAATATAGTATCGCCTACCAATGGAGCTTGTGTGCACGGCACGCTTGAGCGCATCCGTCTGAGGCTGTGGATCAATGCCAAGTTTTACCACTTCATCACTATTCCCTTAACTTGTTTTTTTTTTGTTATCTTTTGAATTT